GTATCTAAACACTCCATGCAACATCCTCCCGACACACCTCCTAAATTTTAGTAGCTGGATCCAAACACACCCTACATCCTGCGATTGGGAAGGAGGTGATAAACAGACTACATGCATGCGTCTGAGTTCATTCCTCCGGAAGGAGAGAGGCGTCCACCCCTTGCGCGCCATTGGCTTCGTTAAACTTACCCTATATTCGGCTTGTTTTTTCAGTCGGAATAGTATTTTTCTCTCACAACAATTTAGCCAGTAACAATGTTTTCAAACGATTTGACCAAGATTCAAGTTAAGCCGAGCGGGGCCTTCATTAAACTTTTCGAACCAATACGCCCGGATCTGTTCACTTAAACTTATCACCCGGCTTATCAACTAAAATCTATGAAAATTTTCCTCTCACGATAAATCAACTTCAGCCGGCTTTAATACCGAACAGAGCCAAGTGGAGGGAGTACACCATAGCTACACACAAACCAACTACTAGTATGATGGACCGCACTGATGGGCCGAGTACATTACAACTTAACTTGCATCTCCGATGATAGGGCACCTAATCGCAATGATTTGCAGCTGGATGCACGTATTATCTGACATATTATGTTGGTGGCAGCTTCCAGTTTGTTGACAGACGGTGACAGAGGCCTTTAATGGAAGGGAGAAGAACGACCAGATCGAATGGTCTGTGTCATCTGATTTATATCGAAACTGGTTAAGCAAAGGCACAGCCGGATCCGTGGCGCAATGGTAGCGCGTCTGACTCCAGATCAGAAGGTTGCGTGTTCGATTCACGTCGGGTTCAAAACCCCGAACCATGTCCGGATTCCTTTTTTGCTTTTTTTTCCCTTCCCATTTCCGTAGAAGTAGTACTACTTTTTGGTCGTTTTTTGCTTTTTTTTTTCCTTCCCATTTTCGTGGAAGTACTACTTTTTGGCCCATTTTCGTGTGGTTTTCTCAAAAGAGGGTTTGCCAACCGTTCGGCTACTCAGTTCTCAGCTTGTTTTAGCTTATTTTTTCTCATAGAATATTATTGAATCATTCGAAATCATCTAAAATCTAATAAGCCGAACGAGTTAGGTGAACAAGAAGCAACAGCAGGGCAGGTCGTGCTCCCTCTCCCTGGCTTTTGTGCACACAATCCCCAGTCCGCCGGGCGCCGGGACCATTCCATGTGGCTTTACTTGCTCGGCGGTCTATCAGACAGGGCGATCTCCTCTGTCTTTGCCCTGCTGCACATCAACTGTCCTCTTTTTATTTAAGGGCGGCACCGTTGACCGGCGCTGGACGGCGGCGACGCGAAGCAGCAATTAACCTGCCGGCGGAGGCGACGTGCACCTTGGCATGTGCTCGCCGTCGGTCTCCCTCTCCCCCGTCCCCGCCACGCACCCACATGCGCATCCTTATCGCGCGCTAGCTCCAATGCAAGCAAGCCCTTAGCTCCTGCAAGTTGCCGTAGCCGGCCTCCTGGCCTCAGCTCCAGTCGCCTTCAATTCCTCTGGGCTCCATTCGTGCTAGGAAAATGCATGTGCCTCGTGGGGCGGTGGTGGGCAGGGCAGCTAGCGGGCGGGCGGCGGGGGCGTATCGGGGCGCCGGGCCGACACCTGTTGTCAGTCCCCGGTGGCGGCAGACGCGGTGGACTACACTACTACAGTACAGTACTATTCTTGCGAAGCGTCCCTGCAGCCTGCAGCCGCGATGCGTTCTCGATCTTCAACTTCAATTATAGCCTCTGTCTGACTCTGATGCACCGGAAGCGCACCTATCAACTCTTTTCATTTCCCTCCCTTCATCATGCAAGTATCATTTTCCTTCCTTTTCCCTTTTCAAATGCAACTAGGATACGAGCTCCGCAGTACCGAGAAAGTCCAAAGTCTGTTTCTTCTAGACGAGGGCGGCCGAGCCCTGATCGCATGAACTTATCAATTGCATCCCTAGTTATAGCTGCTCGCAATGCAAAAGATCCTCGTCCTGTCCTCCATGCGGCAAGGCCGACAGTGTGGTTATTGCAACTGGTTCCAAACATGAAGAGGTTGGTCACAGGCCGACAGGGTAGGTTATTGCCAAATTGTGCTTGTGAGCTGTGCCTGCTACTACAGCAAACTGAAGGAAACCACTGTGCATAAAGCGGTGGGCATCAGTCAGGATACTGCCTGCATCGGACGATCGGATCCCATCGTCCACCATCCATCCGCCTCTGATCCAATTACTGGGCAAATAAAAACCATATATTCAGGGGTAAAATTACACTTCATTTTTGCATACATTTCTGTATGGACAGGGACAGCGTCATTTAACAAGCAGACAAGATAAGATCATAAATAATATAAAAAAATACATGGTGATCTGATCCTCTGTTCTAAAAAAACTATATATATTTTTTCTTTGCGGTAAGAAAATAATAATAAAAAGAATATATGGTGCTACTGGCTCAGGCAACTACACATATGTTGATATGTTGGGGGTAAATAAATACACTTACGTACGCATTAGCTAACACGCATGCATCACCTGAACGAACAACCTGCTTTTTACTGCTTCCGTGGTCGTCATCTCCGGTTTCATGCAGTAGCATGCAGGCAGGCGTACACGAGCCCAAATCAAATGGTGCTCTATCGTGACCGTACCGTGTTGTACCGTTACAGCATCAAGGTGTCGCCGTCGACGTCGTTGATCCAACCGAACTTGTCCATGTACGGGTTGGCGAGCGTCTCCGGCGGGTAGGCGTCGATGCAGTCGGCCCAGGCTCCCCTGTCGGCCATGTCGCCGGTCACCTCCCACACGCAGCTGTTGCACTTGAACCCGGACCCGAAGGTGACCATGAGCACCCTGTCCCCGACCTTGAGCCGCCCCTTGGCCTCCATGTACGACAGCACGTACCAGAGGCTGCTCGCCGACGTGTTCCCCCACCGGTGCAGCGTCATCCGCGCCGGCTCCACGTCCTCGTCCTCCAGGCCCAGGCTCTGCTTCACCGCCTCGATGACGGCCGTGCCGCCGGGGTGGAGGCAGAAGTGGTCCACCCCGGCCTTGAAGTTGATCTTTGGCGCCGCGTCGCCGCCGTTCTGCTGCTTGCCGGATCCGGAGCCCTGCATCTGCGGGAACTGGAAGAAGAGCCTCCGGGCGAGGTGGCGCGCGGTGAACCTTGCGAGCTCGGCGACGGGGAGCACGCGCGGCGCGAGGCGGCGCAGGTTCACGGCGAAGGCGCGCACAGCGGCCTTGGGGAGCGCCTTGCTGAGGCTGATCCCGACGCGGCCCTCGCCGTCCTCCCCGCTGCAGCGCGCACGCGTGCGCGTCGTCGCTGGCGCCGATGTTGGCGCGCACCAGGCAGCTGAGCTCCATCTTGGCGCGCCCGCGGTGCGCCGGGTCGTTGGTGACCAGCACCGCGGACCCGCCGCAGCGGAACAGGCAGTTGGCCAGCATCATGGACTTGTCGGTGCCGGAGTACCAGTTGGGCGCTATGGACTCGGACGACACCACGAGCGCCAGCGCGCGGGGCCGCGTCCGCAGCGCGTTCCGGGCCAGGTCCAGCGCGATGAGCCCCGCGCTGCACCCCATCCCCGTGAGGTTGTACGCCGCCACGTCCTCGCGCAGGCCGTAGCGGCGCACGATCTGGGACGACAGCGACGGCGACGGGGAGAGCATGGAGACGTTGAAGACCAACACGTCCACGTCGATCGGCGCGAACCCCGTCCGGGCGAAGAGCTCGGCGATGGCCTCGTCGAAGAAGGCGTCCATCTCCTCCAGCGAGTCCTGCAGGGTGGGCGTGTCCTCGCGGCCCTCCAGGATGTTGCGCGGGGCGTAGGTCTCCTCGCCGATGCCGGAGCGGACGATGACGCGGAGGAGGAAGCGGTAGTCGGTTAGACCCAGCCGCACGTTGCGCTGGATCACGTCGCCGGCCGTCTCCGTCGACAGCTTCCGGTCGTCGCGGGGCTTGTGGCACACGTAGTCTAGGAGGTAGCACCGCGACTGCCGGCGGCGTGCGGCGGCCGTCCAGGCCAGGTACGCCATGGCGTGCGCAAGGATGACCCACGTGAGCAGAGGAAGCAGCTCCATCGATCAGTGGATCTTGCTGGATTGGTTCTCTTGGTGCTTGAGCTACTAGGCACGTTGGTCTGGCACCATAAGAAGAGAAGTTGACTGTGTGATTACTTGCATGCTTATGCTAGAGCTGGGGGTATAGTGTGTTTATATAGGCGCCGCGCGCTTTGTCGAGCCAGCTCCGCCGGGAGGAGCTGGGCCAAGGGGCCTGGCTCAGACGAACTCGGGCTTTGCTGGGCTATTTTGCACTTTCGACCAACTTTTAGGTATTCTTTATTTTTGCTCAAAAAAAGGTATTCTTTATTTTTTCTAATTATCGATAATTTAATACTAGAAAATACTGGTAACTTTGAGCTGCCACCGGCTTCCTGCAACTGTTCAGATAGCAGCACTCATTTATTGTGATTCAATTAAGAGTTAGATCTAATTAAAGGAGAGCCTCTAGTCGCACATAAAGTAAGCTGATGTTTGGTTAAGGGATTAAAGTTTAGTCTCTGTCACATCGGACGTTCGGATACTAATTAGGAAGACTAAATATGAGTTAATTATAAAACTAATTACACAGATGGAGACTAATTTACGAGATGAATCTATTAAGCCTAATTAACACATATTTACCGTAGCACCACATTGTCAAATCATGGACTAATTAGGCTTAATAGATTAAATCGCAAATTAGTCTCAATCTATGCAGATTAGTTTTGTAATTAGTTTATATTTAATACTCTAAATTAGTGTCCAAACATCCGATGTGACGAGGACTAAAATTTAGTCCGTGGAACTAAATACCCCTTAACTTTCACCACATCTTTTATTTTGAAATCTGCTTATATTATCTCACATACCTGAAATTAGACACCTCCGGCTCCTCTTTATTCCATTGAAAAACAGCCGTGAACGGCTCCTCCTGTTAAACCGTTTGGTATGGCTCCTTGCGTATATATCATATTGCCTGTTTTTATATATCATAAATGGTGGAAAGGAAGGAGGCCGGCGTAAATCAGGGACACATTGAGGTCGGTGGCGGCATGACATGGTTCACTAGGGGACTGTATCTGTGAAAATTAATAATAAGATGGGAAATTACATCAAGAGTTTCAAAGGTGTTAGACAGGGTGACCCTTTGTCACCAATCTTGTTCAATTTCATAGCAGACTGTTTGACTAGAATGGTTCATCAGGCACAAAGGAATGGTTTGATAACTGGTTTGATTAGTCATATTATTCCTAATGGAGTTGCAATATTACAATATGCTAATGATACGATTGTTTTTCTGAAACATGATATAGATGGTGCTGTCCATATGAAATTGTTGCTCTACTTATTTGAAATGCTTGCTGGTTTAAAAAACAACTTTAACAAAAGTGATTTTTTCACGATTAATGATGATGAGAGCTGGGGTCAAACTTACGCCAGCGACGACGCGCACGCGTGCGCGCTGCAGCGGGAGGACGGCGAGGGCCGCGTCGGGATCAGCCTCAGCAAGGCGCTCCCCAAGGCCGCCGTGCGCGCCTTCGCCGTGAACCTGCGCCGCCTCGCGCCGCGCGTGCTCCCCGTCGCCGAGCTCGCAAGGTTCACCGCGCGCCACCTCGCCCGGAGGCTCTTCTTCCAGTTCCCGCAGATGCAGGGCTCCGGATCCGGCAAGCAGCAGAACGGCGGCGACGCGGCGCCAAAGATCAACTTCAAGGCCGGGGTGGACCACTTCTGCCTCCACCCCGGCGGCACGGCCGTCATCGAGGCGGTGAAGCAGAGCCTGGGCCTGGAGGACGAGGACGTGGAGCCGGCGCGGATGACGCTGCACCGGTGGGGGAACACGTCGGCGAGCAGCCTCTGGTACGTGCTGTCGTACATGGAGGCCAAGGGGCGGCTCAAGGTCGGGGACAGGGTGCTCATGGTCACCTTCGGGTCCGGGTTCAAGTGCAACAGCTGCGTGTGGGAGGTGACCGGCGACATGGCCGACAGGGGAGCCTGGGCCGACTGCATCGACGCCTACCCGCCGGCGACGCTCGCCAACCCGTACATGGACAAGTTCGGTTGGGTCAACGACGTCGACGGCGACACCTTGATGCTCTAACGGTACAACACGGTACGGTCACGATCGAGCACCATTTGATTTGGGCTCGTGTATGCCTGCCTGCATGCTACTGCTTGAAACCGGAGATGACGACCACGGAAGCAGTAAAAAGCAGGTTGTTCGTTCTGGTGATGCATGCGTGTTAGCTAATGCGTACGTAAGTGTATTTATTTACCCCCAACATATCAACATATGTGTAGTAGCCTGAGCCAGTAAGCCAGTAGCACCATATATTCTTTTTATTATTATTTTCTTACCGCAAAGATAAGTTAAGTGTATCGATCTATATGTCATACTTGTATGCTGTAGCGTTTATTAGTGATATACACATGCACATATATGTCGTCACAAACCTGCTGATGTTTTATTTCTGGATTAAATTAACCATAAAAATGTCTAATTATCTAACACAACGTATCAACATATGTGTAGTAGCCTGAGCCAGTAGAACCATATATTCTTTTTATTATTATTTTCTTACCGCAAAGAAAAAAAATATATAGTTTTTTTTAGAACAGAGGATCAGATCATGTATTTTTTTTATATTATTTATGATCTTATCTTGTCTGCTTGTTAAATGACGCTGTCCCTGTCCATACAGAAATGTATGCAAAAATGAAGTGTAATTTTACCCCTGAATATATGGTTTTTATTTGCCCATTAATTGGATCAGAGGCGGATGGATGGTGGACGATGGGATCCGATCGTCCGATGCAGGCAGTATCCTGACTGATGCCCAGCGCGTTATGCACAGTGGTTTCCTTCAGTTTGCTGTAGTAGCAGGCACAGCTCACAAGCACAATTTGGCAATAACCTACCCTCTTCAAAGTTTGGGAACCATTATTCATGTAGACCTGTGATCAACCTCTTCATGTTTGGGAACCAGTTGCAATAACCACACAGGACGAGGATCTTTTGCATTGCGAGCAGCTATAACTAGGGATGCAATTGAGTGGCCAACTAGGTTAGCTTAATTCCCTCTAATTTAATTTTAACAAGTTTCTGATCGACCCAGTGCAATCAATCAGAACAAATTGCGCTCGCGTTGCCCCTAACTGCAGCACATCTATATATATGAAACGAATAAAAGCATCTCACTATGCAATAGCTGTGTAAACTGATATGAGCAGAGAGCACCAAAATGACACGTAACAATTCACCAAATTTTTGGTAAACCCTAAATTAATTTAATTTAGATCTACAAACTACTAATTATCGGGTTCATAAACCCGGGGTCCCTAATGGACCTGTTTCTCAACGAAAGCTCGGCCCCAGCCCAGACAGCGTCGCGACAACGCGTGCCTCTCTGGGCGGCCCGATTATCTAACGACCGGCCGGAGAAGCGACTCGGTCTCCGACCGGAAGGCCTGGCTAAGGAGGGACATAGTCGACTCCAACCTCCTTTTCCGACCAGAAATACGTCCAATCTCTGCTTGCAGCTCTTCTCCGACCGATGAAGTCAAGGGCTTAAAGGCTGCGCCGTAGATGGGTGGACTCGAGCACCGTGGACCCCAGATGGAATGCACCATACGTTGACAGTGGCTGTTTTGCTTGGCTTCTTTTTTCTTTCTGCAAATTTTTTGGGCATTATATATATATATATATATATATATATATATATATATATATATTGTACTCTGGTCAATAAACTGGCATGCATTGCAGTATTGCAAAAGACAAATAAAGCAGCATTTGGAACCACGTACTATATGCATATATTCTTTTAATTACACTGGCCATACTTATATAGTCTATATCTACTCTCTAAACAAGAATAGAAAAGAAAAAAAGAATAGAGCCGCCAGAGCGGACGCCAAACCAAGTATATAGAAGCCGTGGTCAAAGTCTCAGGTAGCAATGCAAACACAAACAGGCATGCAATCCCCGTGGAAGTGGAACACTCAAACGCTAGCTGCTGCCCTCTGCGACCTACGCGGGAGGGCGATGGATCGGAAACGGTGGGCCCATGCACCACCCATAAGTGATCGAAGGATACAGTTTGGTGGCGTGGCGGCCACCGGAAACTGGTTAATGCGTATGGTTTTCGGTTGCCCGTTTGGAGATCGCAGCAGGCGACCACTTCCATCCTTTCTTCGTCGTCCCTTCTTCTTAACAAACATGGCCCCCGTGATGCGACGTTAATATATGACACTATGCTCGTGGCGTGCACTTCCTTGACCTGACATGCACGTTGAAGTACAGCTTATCTTATTAGTCGGCCTTAAGGGTCGCTGAGACTGGTCCATCGTCGGTAAGCCATCTCCAGCAGCTTTATGTATTCTTTCAAATTATAGGACGTTTTGACACCGTTGTTTTACTAGTTATTACTATGTTTCTGAAAATTATATATATCTACATCCATATCAAGCTACGTATCTACCAAAACCAAAACGTATTATAGTTTAGAATGAAGAGAGTATCGGTTAATTTGATTTGACATAAATTCAAGCTATAATATTATGAGTTTATATATAGATGAAAAATACATAAGTACATGATTCAAAAAAAGTTAATTCAAATTTAAATTTGAATTTAAAAGATATTGTTCGCAATATAACATAATTCATCACAACGTTAAGTCAACAAACTTGAACATATCGATGCATATCAACTCTCTCCTCCATTGTTATCACCACCACTTGGCTCACTACTGTCGCTGATTGCACCGGCCACTTGATCCACCGAAGTTATTGCGGCGTCGTTCATTGAGCTGTATAGATTGATGATTCCTCGTTACCACCATATTAAATAGATCATAATATGCTAAAAATCTAAACTGATTACCAAATAATCAAACTATATGTTGGAATAACCAGGTCTATTTCTAATATTAGACAACGAAAGGTTTCTTCGTCCTTCATCACTTACAACCGTTCGATAGGAATATGACATACTCAATCTCTCTCCTGTGCGTGTTCAAGTTAGATTAGCATGTCCAAATACGGTGCCAAGTCCGATTTTAGAAACAAAGTGTTTCCGTGGTCTGCTACTCTCTCCCCCATGCGCGCGTATAAGTTAAGTGTTTAGGAAGTGCGAAATCTGATCCTAAAACAAACAGGAACACGTGACATAGTTTCTCATTATTTGTTAGAGTCCATATGTTTCCTGATGTTAAAACGTACCATAGATATATAGTGATCGTTGATTTGTCGGGTTAAATTGATACAATAATAACATTACTAGTCATATATACAAGAAATACTTAAATACACGAATTTAAGTCAAGTTAATTCAAATTTAAATTCGAATTTAAAAAATATTGTTTGCCCGATAACATAGTTCCTAACAACATCAAGTCAACTAATGTGAAACACATCGATGCATCAACTCTCTCTCCTCCATTATTATCACTACCACTAGCCTCACTACTTTTATCGATTGCACCACTTGAACCACCGAAGTTATTATACCGTCATTCGTTGAGCTGTACGTTGAGCCCTCATTACCACCATATCAAATAATGAATCAGAATTTGCTTAAAAATCTAAATTGACTACGTACAAAATAATCGAACTATATGTTGAAATAACCAAATCTCTCTGATATTAAAGAGCAAAAAGTTTATTAGTCCTTCATCATTGTCCGATGGGGATCTGACAGACTCAGTCTCTCCCGTGCATGTACAAGTTAGAGCAGTGTATCTAACCACGATGTGCAGCCTGATTCTAAAAACGAAGTGCTTCCATGGTGCACACTACTCTCTTCCATGCCCCATACAAGTTAAGTATACAGGCACGGTGCGAAGTTCAATCCTAAAACAAAATTAAATTAGAATACATATCATGATCATTATTAAAGTTTCTCCTTAATTGTTAGCAGATCGCGATCGTCCATATGTTTCTCTTTGAGACGTTGAACGTACCAGAGACAGTGATCGCTGATTTGTCGGGGTGCATATATACATGCACGAAGACTGAAGAGGCGACCGAGGGAAAGACAGAGACGAGATTCATTAGCAGAGAAAGGAATGGAAAACTAGACGACTGTGCCACACGCGTTCTTAATTACATGAAGATGGTCAGCTTGGACGAGGACGACCAGGCGTACGTCGCGCTATTGCGTGCTTGCTGAGGACCGATTTTGTCAATCTTGGGCAATTTACGTCGTCACAGCGCATAAGCCATGCCTTAGTGATGCTAATGCTGTATATATCGCCCCCGGCCCACTACTATGTCTCAATTATAGTAGTATGCTCTTTTGCTTTTTTTTTAGTACAAAAATATAGCTACCAAGTATATTCTTATTAGGACTTGGGCCGTTGGGCGTTAGACACATGCAGGCAGGAACCAGCTAGCTAGAGCAACAAGAAAAAGTCATATCTATTTCGTGTTCCACTAGTGGACTAGGTGATCGGGATCGAGCGGCTACCATGACACTTAGGGCAGCCTCTAATAATGACTTATGAACTACTAGCTCTAACCATTTTATTTCAGATTTTTTGAAAATATATTTTTTCTGATTTTTTGGATAATACTTTAAAAACACTTTTAGTTAGATTTACTTTCCTGAATTTTTAACTTAGTCCTATTTAGTATTTACGCCCTCTGACGTGGTGATATATCAGCAAAACCATCGTCGAAACTACCCATGCAAAAATAAACGTTTTTAAAATCTGAGGAGTTCAAAATACTTATTTTGTAGTTTGTGAAGAAAAATCGGACGATCACGCTGTCTGAGTGAAGTAAACCAAACTTTTTCTTTTCTTGTATATATATTATATCCCTTTGATCGACGAGGAGAAGAGAACGGGCTCTTAAAGGTAGGAGAGGACGGCAGTAGCTTGCTAAGTTGTTATTGGCTATTTTCCAAAGATGGGCTATATACTGGGCTTGAGCCCGGTGGTGTCGTAAAGTTGGTTGGCAGCCGCAACCGCAATTGGGTTGGATGGGCCGGGCACTCCATCCGTGCCAAACCTGTGTGGAGTCATGCTTCTCGTCGAATCTGATAAATTCACCAGCTGACAGCTGTGCATAAGAGCACGGCCGCCCTCGCCTGCCGCGCTCGACACGTTCGCCCGTGACTCACAAGGCGCACGCATGCGGCATGCCGCCGCCGCCGGCCTCACCACCTCGGCCTCCCCGCTAGGCTGGACACGTATCGTAGACGTGTCACCATAGAACCACGGGCAACACGCGCCCGCTACTAAAGGCAAAGCTAGGAGGGGCCTCGTCTACACGTGCGTACCCGTGCATGCGCGGCAATTCGTTGATCTCCGAATCTCCCGTCAGTCTCTACGCACCTGAACGTCTGTCTGAGTCCATGGCCAAGGCCGAAGTCGACGCCAGGGCCACGGGCGACGAGGGCGGCGGCAGCGTCGCGGAAGACGGGCAGCCGGCGGCGGCGAAGGGGGGCGCGACCATATCCGTGACAGTCGTCCTGCTCGCGCTGCTGGTGGCATCCGTCGCGGCGTTCCTGACGTCGTCGTTGGCGCGCGCCGGCGACGGCGATGGAGTTGGCAAGGGGGTGCAGGAGCGAGCTGCCGGCAGGGCGGGGGAGGCAGCAGGGAAGCGCGCCGAGCCCGTCGAGCATGCGGTCGGCGACGTCGTCGGCATCCCGGGGTTCAACAGCCAGGCTGGACGCGTTCCGCACCTGGGCGGCGCTGACGTGGACGAACCTCCGGCGGCCGCGCTCCGACGAGCCACGGTATGTCATGTGTGAATGTGAACTAGCTAGCTCTCGGTTTCCTGCTCCGTTGCTTGTGTGCCGCATAGCCTAATCAGTATTTATCAGCTAAGGATACGTACGTATGTGACGTGGTCACCGTGTGTGTCCTTCCTTGTGTGCCAGGTACGACGATGCCGCCACCGGGAGCGCCGGCTCTGTGGCGGACGCCGCGAAGAGGAGCTTCGAGATGGGCAAGGAGACGGTGGAGCAGGCGGTGGCGTCCACTGCAAGGGCCACGCGGGACGCCGCTGAGACGGCCAAGGAAAAGGTGAAGGGAGCAGCCTCGCCGTCCGACGGCGCTGAGCTCTGAGCAGAGCATGCCTCGTCTTTATGTAGCATCGTGTAAAAGACTGTACCGCACATGTGACATGTCCGATATATGTACATCAGTCTTCCCTACAGTGACTAGTCTAGTGTACTAGTGCATAGGCAGCGAAGGCTGAGTTCGACATGACTTATCGTTGCTACGGCTGATTTATAGGATTGATTTGTTACATGAGAGAAAAAATATTATTCTATAATTAGAAAAATAGAATTGATTCTAGCTTATAAGTTCAAGCCAAGCAGAGCCATAGCCATACGCGTGATTGGCATGGTTGACCGTCCAGAGGAAGATGTCAAACCCGGTAGAGATGAAATAAAGTCGTAGTTCATCCTTCTAAAGTTTACTCCCTATCACATCGAATATTTTAGACATATATATAAAATATTATATATACCACATTTCTTTGGTCTTTGATGCTTGGTTTGGGCTGGTGGTCTTTGGTTTTTACGTGAGAGGAAAACACCGTTGGCTGGTTAAATAAGCCTGACTGAAACCAACAAACGAACAGGCCGATAGACTAAAAAAATAACTAATTGCAAAGTTTGCGACTAATTTGCGAGACGAATCTTTTAAATCTAATTAGTCCATGACAACGTGGTGTTACAGTAACACATGCGCTAATAATAGATTAATTAGGTTTAATAAATTCGTCTCGCGGATTCCTGACTAATTCTGTAATTTATTTTTTTTATTAGTATCCGAACAACTCATACTATACCCGTATGACACTCGATGTGACATCCAAAACTTTATATCCTGAATTTAAATAAGGCCTAAAAGCGAAAAATGCATGACAGAAATCAAACAAACGCAGGGTAGCAAATCCTACTACACCACTTCTCAGGACTGAATTGTGGCAAGAGCTAGTTTTGCAAGAGGACGAAATGGTCAAGGCAAGATCAGTCCAGAGACGATGAGCCTTCAGCTCTCAACAGAGCAGCCTGCACTTGAGGTGGCTGGACTTGTCCTGCCCTGGCTATCCAGGTATACCATACTATTCCGGATGCCCTGTCCTACATGTCTTTGGTTCCGAGCTCCACAAACCAGAGCATTTTGTTTGCAGAGGAATCCGACGCAGCCGCAGTTACTCAAGGTTAAGCAGAAAAGGAGCGCGCCCACGAAAGTCGTTACCGCAGCGAGGGCACGAGGAAGTTTGAACGCTAGTTCACTCACCGTCGTAATCGTCCGGTGTGAGCGACTTTGCAGCGGCGACGGAGTAGGGGGTCGTACGACTAACACGGATGTCTGGGGAAGCGACGAACCATCTCATGGGCTCTCGTGGAGGAGGCGGCTGAGGGGGGTGGCTTGGAGGAGGAGGAGGGGTTGGCTTGTCGGGAGGCGGCGGATGGGAGGGGTTGGCTTGTCGGAGGAGGCGGGGCGGAGGGGAGGGGTTGGCTTGGAGGAGGAGGAGGAGGCGGAGGCGGAGGGGGAGGAGGAGGGGGTTGGCTTGGAGGAGGCGGCGGAGACGGAGGCGGAAGAGGAGGGGGTTGGCTAGGTTCGTCGCCGGGGCAGATGTCCTGGAACACGGGCAGCTTCCTGGTACGGAGGCCGGGGCCATGCAGCCACTCGCTGAAGATTGCGTCCTCCTCCGCAATCGGGGCCACTAGAACGTCGGCACACGCACCAACGGCACCGGCTGGGACGGACGCATCTCGGGCTGCTCCGGCTGCTTGGGCGGCGACGATGAGCTCCCTTCGCCGGCTGGCGGGGACTTTATGGTGACCCTGGATGGTACCGTCTGCTCCGGCGGCGTTGCCTCCGGCTGCCTGGGTCCTTCGCTGGCCGGCGGGGCCGTGATGGTTACCCTGGTGCGTGCGGGCTGCTCCGGCGGCGGCGGCGGGTCTCCGTTGCTGGTTGGGGGGTGGCGGACGGTGACACCGGGCGGCGGGTAGAGTCCTGAGGACCTCCTGGGGATGATCATGGTGGTGACGCTGGGCGGCGGGTAGAGCAGCTGTAACAGAACCGACCAAATCATAAGAACGTAAGCACAAAAACAATCACCGAAGCGACCAATTCCTGTGCTTAAGCTCCCATAATCCCGGTAGTCCGGAAATCACGAAGGATTTCAACCAACTCTCGACATACAAACCAAGATCGTAATGATTCAACACAACACATCATTCGTTACAACATTTCACAAGTAGCATTAGGATTACCTCCATCAGAGTTCAAATAAAATATTACAAACCAAGTTTGAGTGTGCGGAAGCAACATAGTTTAGTACATAACTTCATAGTTCAAATACATTGCAGATCAGAGTCATGTCCCACAAAAGCATTATCAGTCACGAGAACTAGTAGAGACCGCGCCCAACGGTCTAGTCTTCATCCCGGCGAGGAGAAGGCGATTACTTGCGACAACCAAAGAAGAAGCTGGTCATCACGCAGCGGTGGGAAATAAACCACGAGTACGAGAAGGTACTCGACTAGACTTCTACCGACAAAAATCAGAAATAAACGACACCAAGGATCATGCAAGGCTTTTTCAGGTGGGCTAGCTTGACACATTTGCATAAAAGAGCTTATGAGCATAGTAACCAATTTAACTTAGCATCAAGCTTATCATCATTTACCGGTCCACTAGATTAGCTTTTTGTACTAGAGCACTCACTTATTAGGAGCAAACAATATTAACCATAGCAGGTATAATAAATTTGTCAACATCATATCATCATTTCCGAACCATTAAGTTATTAAGTGTATCTACATTGGAGATAAGCCCGTCAAGTTCTCACTAACCGGGAGAGGCGGCGATTCGAATTGAATTACAACTCAGCTGAGGGGATATTCCTAACTCTCACCCTGGCATACTTTGCAAGGGTAGCCGTGGGTCACCTTTGGAACATCTCAGGAACCAAATTCGCGGGTTCGATCGGCGCCTTGACACTCTCGGGGATTACCCTACGCCAGGGCGACCGGGACTTTTAAATCACACTGCCCTTGGACTCACGCCACGGCTCCCTTCCGAGGCGCGCACTTTATACTTATCGACTCCCGACCGAGGTGAGCTACTCGGCCCGCGGTCGGTCATCGGGCCGACCAACTAAGAGAGAGGCATCGTTCAACATGAACAGGAAAGGCTCCAAGATCCAGTCCTTAATCGACACTGCACGGAGTCACTTTGCAAACCGGCAAGCCTCCGTCCGGTCTTCATTTCAAATTAAGACTGGTTCTTTTCCACGATAGCAAATATAGCCAACCGTGCCACATGTATCTTCCTATATCTCGCGGTGACAGGAAATCACCCGACTTCTACAGCGTTTAAGCGGGGCTAAGCACTACTCGAGCTGAGAGCTACATAGGATTGAGGTATCAATATCGGACAAGGAATGGTAACCAAATAAGCAAGTGTTTACATCCAACACCTAAACTTAATACAACAATATATATAATAATAATATCAGAATCTGCAGTTCGGGAAAATAGGAGGCTTAAAATGCTCGGGGCTTGCCTTTCACAAAGTTGCAAGGACGGTGGTCGAGGGCACTCAGCGGCGACCTCGTCAGCACTTCTCCGGGAAGGTTGCTCCTCCCTGAATCTCCGCGTCAATTTGCTTCTTTGCTCGCTTTCAGTTCCTCGAATTCCAGCAGGGTTACCCTTCGGTACACCTATTGCATGTCGATGCACAAGATAAATATCATGGATGCATAAGGAATGACATGATGCTCATGATGAATGAATCACAATGGGTGTTTACGAAAACATCTTTGGACACTCGTTTTCTCGAAAGTAATTAGCTCTATTCAAATCACTTTAAGCATGTATCCAACTTAACTTAAATAACAAGAGCAACTTACCTAACTTGCATAACCTAAGATAAAGATGCTCATCTTCAGTTAAAGGCCTAACACCTAGGAACAGTACCATGAACTTAGAATAGTATGCAGACATGCTTAAAATAACAGTTAAAGCTTCATATGCAACAAGTAGTAACTTAATTCTATCATAACCAGAGTTCTATAACTCCAAATGACTTGCAAGAGGACATTCTGGAAAGCTTATGAAATTCTCTACAATTCACTTGTAAACATCAAAGCATGATTCTGAAGTTAACCAAATCAATTTCCAGTAGACCTAGAATCTGTCCAGAATGACGGGGTTGCTAACTTAATTATTTAATGATGGTGCAAAAGCCCAATTTGACCAAACCAAGTTTACCAACTTGTTTTTCATATCTTAGAAACATCAGAAGGTATAGTGCTAACTTCTAAATAATTTATTTAATATCCTTTTCCCATTTATTTAGTTAATTAGGTGATTTAAGCAATATGTAGTAAAACTATTCATAAAAATCTACAAAAATTACAGTAGCTATCTCATGCTGCACATAGGCTACCATAAAAATTTCAAAGCCATTGGACCAACATAACTTGTTGTATCCAAAATAACAGATGCCATGTCTATTTCTAGCATAATTAGGAAACCTTATTAAAAAGTGTCAAGCAACAGATTTCCCATTTTTCCTAGCATCCTTTTAGCATAATACTAGCACCCATAAAATTTCACCTTCACTGGATCTATAGAAAAATTATGAAAATTCACACAAGATCCATCTTTTAATAAAAGGAAATTCTAAAATTTAAAAACTACACATGCACTAGCTCTAAAATTTTTACCAGAGATTCACATAAGCAATAAAAGACTGCCCACAAAATTTCATAATTTTTGGACCACATAAACTCAAGATAAAATTCAAACAAGTTTGCATGCTTCTAAAAACACATTTCAAACTCCTATTTAATTCATCCATTTTTTTCTAAAACAAGTGCTCATATAATATTTTTGTTAAATACTAGACATTATCATGAACTCAACAAAATTGGAACCATAGCATTTGGATCTATATACTAGGAGATACATATTTTTCAAGATGTACATAAATCTGTGAAATAAATAAACGAAATAAAATAGGAAAACAACTCTCACCCTCTACGGGCCAGCCCAAGAACCGTGACCCGTGACTCACTGTGCTGGCACGGCCCAACGCGACATGGCCCACGCTGGGGCTCCGCCTCGATCATGACGGTGACAAGAAGGGCCAGCTGTCGCCGAGGGAAGCAGGGAGGCGGCCTCGGCGACGGTGGAACTCAACGCCGATGGCTTCTCTCGGCGACACCATCTACTCTCGACGTTCGCCATGACCATGCGCATCTATTGGTGACCTCAACCGGTGCTATGGTGGTGGCTAGAGGGTTGGCGACTAACGGCGGCGGCACGCGCCACGCTGCACGGCCGGCTCCGGTGAATCAGCGACGACACATATTTCTATCGGTGACCCTACGAGCCGGTGGTGTTCCTATGGCCTAAGCGCATGGCGAGAGGAAGGAATGGGAGCGGCGCGAGGGCACTGGCGCGTGGAGCGCCAACTCCGCGCGAGCTCCGCCATGGGCTGGTGGGGAAAAGCGGCAATGCGCTCTTACTCGAGGCTCAATCGACTCGATTGAGCGGTGGAGGTGATGGAGGAACAGGCGGCGAGGCTACTGGCCGGGCGGACGGGCAGCGTTTTTGCCAAGACGCGGGAGCTAGGCGAGAGCGAAGCTCGGCGGCAATGGCGGGCGGCTTGGTGCTGCGCTATGGGGGCGGAGAAATGAAAAATGGAGTGATGAAGGCGTCGACGGTGGCGCTTGAAGTGGAGGGCAACGGCGGCGGCGTGGCGTCGAAGCCGCCCTCGGTGGCGTGGCGGTGTGACGATGAAGAAGCCGGGCGACGAGTGGCGGACACGCGGCGTCAAGCCTCTGCGTCGATCGGCCTGGCGCTATGAAGTTTTTACGAAAACCGCGATTCAGTCCTCCATTGTCCCGACTGACAGAGCATGTTCGACGATAAGTATCTCCTAATCCGTGACGAGTTAGTGGAAGACATGAACATCAAAGCTGTAGACCTATCTTCCCTCTACAATTTCTTTTCAATGATAAACACCTAAAACGTCATGGATCCGAAGTTACATGAAGCTAAAGTTGGCTTGATGCAACTGGAAAACACTATGACTTAGAATATTTTTCTAAGTGTTGAAAACAGCATGTATCTCTGACTTGTGGGCCATGTTTGACCATGTTCCACACATTTTCATGACTTGGCTATAAAACAACTTTTGTTCCTTGATAAATTTGCTACCACTTTTGTAAAGAGTGCACAGCCATGCAAAGTCTCTAAGTTACACTTTTTAAACAGTCAAACAATGAGACTCCTATGGTCAATTCTAGTCAACCCTTCACTTGAGGGCATTTTGGTCACTTTGATCTACATGAACAATGTCCCAACAAGTAACCTAAGTGTAGTTAAGGTGTATTAGACCATAATCAACCACTTTACAAAATTGTTATACCACTTCTAATGATCACCTATGATACAGGAAATAAAAACAAGCAATTCATACATATGTTTCACATGTTTCAAGACCTTGTTGTCATTTTATAATTGCCACATTACGACCATATGGCCATGTTTCCGAGTATGAGAGTTTCATGTTACATTCACATGTTTCACTACTATTCACAACAATCAAGCATGAAACATACCCAGTTGAAATTGTTGCACATGCATGTTTCAGTAACAATGGCATGATGACATAGATAATGCACATGTTTATGAAATGACATGCGATTTAGTGGAAGCCAAACACCTAGGGTGTTACAGCCCTCCCCCCTTAGAAAAAAATCTCGTCCCGAGATTTGGAAAGCGTACCAATCAGTATAGAAAGCTGGATAGTTTTCCTTTAAATAATCTTCTCGTTCCCAGGTTGCATCCCGTTCACTATGATTACTCCAAACTACCTTGTATAACTTAACCACTCGTGTACGAGTCACTCTTTCTTGTGTATCCAGAACTTGCACGGGTTTTTCCTCATAAGAAAGATCAGATTTCAAGTTGACTTTTCTTGCTGCTATTCTTTCCTCGGGAATACGAAGACACTTCTTCAGCT